GGGCCTCTGGTCTTCAAAGTTGGCGCAGCAGGCAGCCCATTGCCCTGGAATGAGAGGTCCCTTTTCTGGGCATTGTGCCAGCCCAGTCTGGGGACACAGAGAGGGGCAAGCTCACAGCCCCCACTTTCTTTGATAATAAAAAGAGATCTCTCTCCCAGCCCCCGCCACAGCCCGCGCATGGCCATGGCCACACCCACTGGGTAGCAATAAACTTGCTGTCCTTTCCTGTCACCCAACCTGCCCACACAACCTGGCAGAGAGATCTTCCTCTCCTGCTTGCACCTGGTGTCCCTCTCCTCACTGCTCGGAGGACGAAAGCTCACCTCTGGCTCAAGCCTGAAAACCTTCTGTGGACTTGACCTTCTGGCCTCTCCGCTTTCCGGTGCCCAGTGTGACTGCAGCTGTTGGCACTTCTCCCAAACTCCCGGACTTTTTCATACCTCTGTGCCAGCTTTCACTGCTGGGAATGCCTTTCCTCTCTTTCCTGTCAAACTCCTATTCATCCTTCAAAACCCAGGTGAAATGTCACTGCCTTCTCAAGCGGAGGCAGCTCCTCTCCCTGGGTGTTTCCCTGGCCTCTGGCTCACACTTCTATCACAGAACTTAAGAAAAGGCCATCTAAGTTGTTCAAAAGCTTCTCACTAGACCTAGGCACCTCAAGGGTGCCATGACTTTGTAAACTGTGCCATGCCTAGCACAGGGGAGAAGCCCAGTGTTAGCTGAATGAATGACAAGGTCCACACTCCTTGCCACGGCCTAGAGGTCCAGTATGATCTAGACTGCAGTGAGTCTCTGGTCTCATCTCAAGCCTTTGCCCCCTGTTGTTCTGCCTCACTGGCCTCTTTAGGTTTCTTGAGCCCACTGTCTCTTCCCTCCTTCACCCTTCACTCCCACTACAAGCTGCTCTTTGGGTCTGGAAAGCTTGTGTCTTTCCCTCACCTGCCACCCACTCATCCAGGAAGCTCACTTCAGTGATGCCACCCCAGGGGAGCCCCCCCAGCACCCCCAAGACTCAGTGCCATGAGGCTAGAGTCCTCCACCCCAGGCAAGCACCTGGTACACGGCAGGCAGGTAACACGTGCTCGTGGAACAGATGCAGCAATAAGAGAACTTGGGACTTCCCTGCAGGTCTCGTGGCTAAGGCTCCATGCTCCCAATGTAGGGGGTCTGGGTTGCGTTCCTGGTCGGGGAATTAGAGCCCGTATGCTGCAGCTAAGAGTTCGCAGGCCGTAACTGAAGATCTCACATGGCGCAACAAAGACTGAACATCCCGTGTGCCGCAGCCGGGACTCGGCAAAGCCAAGTAAATAGCAACATAAATAAATAAAAATAAAGTCGATGTACTAGTCAGCTCAGGCCATCATAACAAAGTACCACAGATGGGGTTGCTTTGAAAAAGGAAAATTACTTATAAAATAAAAATTAAAAAATAAATAAAAGGGCTTTCCCGGTGGTTCAGTGGTAAAGAATCCACTTGCCAAATGCAGGAGATCCCTGCATTGGTTTGATTCCTGATCTGGGAAGACTCCCACATGCCACAGAGCAACTAAGCCCCCACGCCAAAACTACTGACCTGTGCTCTAGGGCCCAGGCACTGCAGCTCCTGAAGCCCTTGTGTCCTAGAGCCGGTTCTCCACAACAAGAGAAGCTACCGCAATGAGAAGCTCACAAACCACAACTAGAGAGTAGCCCCCACTCGCTGCAACTAGAGAAAAGTCCATGCAGCAACGAAGACCCAGCACAGCCAAAGATAAATAGAATTAATAAAAATGAATAAATAAATAAAAATTATTCATCTAGGTAGCCACCAAAACCATCTTGTTCAGCTGCGCTCACTTTGGGAATCACTGCTTCATCCCCTACGACTCTGGGGAGGCTTCCTTTGCAGAGGGTCTTTGGAATGGAAGCTTCCTGCCAATGAGCAGATGTGTGCATTCCTTTTACTATTTATCTCTGGATGGGGAAGGAGCTGAGTCCCCAGCCCCTGTCTCAACCAAAGCTGCCTTTCTATCTGTGAGTTTACATATTTCTAACCTGATTATGCTTTGGTCCAGAGAACAAAAGTTTTAAATTCAAAAAAAAAAAGGCTAACAATGCTCATGTCAGAGAATATTTGAGGCACAGGCACTCATATAGAAGACAAAGCTTTATCTCAGATATGGGAGTGCAAGTTACTTTCTATTCAAACATGAAAACACCAGGAGCCTGGGAGGGACTGTGGTGGGGAAACCCAGGACCAGAAGTCAGGCAAACAACTCCCTCCCAGACCACTGGGTCCCGGTCTCTGAAGGAGCAGACAGTGAAGAGCAGGAATGAGGCTGGGGCCCCAGTGCAGGCACTTTCTGGCCCCTGAGGCTCCTGGCTTTCTCCCAGGCTTCGGAGGTCTCCACCCACAGCTGCAGGAGCCTGGGCCCAGGCCAGCCCCCCAGGGTGCTTCCTCTGGGAGCCTTGGACCTGTCCATCCTGTGAGAACCACAGAAGGCCCCCATAGGAAGTCAGCTCCTATTTTGACCTCTGGAAGACAATGCAGGGCACTCAGGAGCAAAGGAGAGACGGGGACTGCGTGGAGTGGGTGGAAGTACACCAGCCTTGGAAGGGCCTTTCTGGGCTGCGGATCCTGCCCGGAAAATTCCCTTCTGTGTGACCGAACTCAGACAATCACCACCAGGATGATCACCACCACAGCACAAAGTTAAGTGACTTGCTCAAGGTCACACAGCCAGTTGTGGCAGGTTCTATTGCTGGATTATACATGCCTCCCGAAAGCATCCTCTCATAAAGCTCCTACATTTCCTACTGTGCAGTGCCCCAGAGGGTTAACAGACCTCAGGGGGAGACATATATCTTTCAGGAGACCTCAGGAGGTGACAACACAGGACAGCAATTTAAAGAAGGCCAGGCAGGAAGAAAGATCTGATCATCTTTTAGGGGGCTGTGTGTCCCTTCTTCTGAATTTTATAGGCACGCTAAGGGACATGGGGCAGGAGTGGCTGCTCCAAGGACAGACTGGGAATCTGGGGAAGTCAGCTTGGGGGCTCTACAAAGGGGCCAGGACCGGGAGCTGCGGGGGCTCTAGGAAATGGAACTTCTTATCAGAAGGGGAGGGTGGTGCTCCCAGACTCAGGCCGCTGTGGGGGACCTGGTATGCCTTCAGGGTGCAGCCGAGAAACACTGCAGCGTGTCTGATGACAGACACCCAGGCCTGGGCCCAGGCGGGAGGTGATGGCTGGTGGCCTGTGTGAAGGGAGGCACTCAGGGGGCTCCAAGTGAGCAGCTGGCCTGCTCACCGTCCTTCCCAGATTCTGGAAGAGTTCCCAGTGTGGGGTCCTGGTCTTCCACCAAAGGCAGAGGCCCAGGAACTAGGCCCAACTCCAATACTGGGGAGACTGCTGCCTTCCCACGTGGGGACCCCAACCTTTCTTAGAATGCTTAGTAATAAAACTCCCGAAGCAAAGGGGCTGGAAAACTTGGCCTAAGGGTGGTGGAAGTGGGGAGGAGCTGATGCCCCACTCTCTAGCAGACTCTGGGGTGAAATCACAGGGCGGGGGCTGGGCTGCCTCATACAGCTGAGCCTGTTTCTGCATCTGTGAAGTGGCAGCAGCTCTCTGGGCTAAACATCCTTCCACTCATAGTCTAGCCTTAGACTCTAGGGCTCTTTAGGGAGGTGGCCTAGGGGAGGATGCCAGCCTACTGCCAGAGCTGGGCAAGTCACCCTGCTTTCCCCACCTCCCCTTCCCCCAGTGTGTGAGGAGGGGGTCTTTGGCAGATCCGAGGTCCATTCCCACTTCCTCTTGGCCATGCCCCCATTGTTCCCCTCCCCCACCTCACACATCTACAGCCAGCTCTTCAATCACAGTCAACTGGAGGGACCATCTGCTCCAAGACTCCTTTTCAGACACACACTGTGTGTTTGTATGTGTGTGTGCATGTGTGTGCTGCATCATTCAGTAGTGTCCGAGTCTTTGCGACTCCATATTCTGTAGCCCGCCAGGCTCCTTTGTCCATGGAATTCTCCAGGCAAGAATACTGGGGTGGGTTACCATTACCTATTCCAGGGGATCTTCCTGACCCAGGGGTCAAACTCTTGTCTCTTGCTGTCTCCTGCATTGGCAGGCAGATTCTTTACCACTAGCTCCACCTGGGAAGGCCCACACTCCTCTTCTACAGGTGAATAAAGCAGGGCCCAGAGACGTCCAGGTCATTGAGAGACTCAGGGACTAAGCCAGCTTCAGACCTCAGGTCTGACTGAGAACTGCGCTCTGACCAGCCAGCCACACTGCCTGACTGTCCCACCAATTCCAGTAACTAGCACCTTGCCCTGGGCTGGAATGAAGGGAAGAGGAGGAGGATTCAAGTCACAAAACCCAAGGCATGACCCACCTGGGCACCCCCACCCACCGCACTGCTGGGGAGTGGGGAGGTGCAGGGTTAGGACCCCACTGGCCCTACTTGGAAGCCCCTCCCCAGAACAAATACCAATAGCAGTAGGAACACTGATCATCTAGACTGCGGATTCGGGGGAGGGCTGGAGCAAACACTTTGTCCCCTTATCAGGAAAACCCTCATCCCAGTGGTGGTGTTGTAAGGAGCAGGGGAGTGGCTTAGCTGGTAAAGAATCTGCCTGCAATTGCAGGAGACCTGGATTCCATCCCTGGGTTGGGAAGACCCCCCTGGAGAAGGGAAAGGCTACCTGCTCCAGTATATTCTGGCCTGGAGAATTCCACAGACTGTGTAGTCCATGAGGTCGCAAAGAGTCGGACACGACTGAGCAACTTTCACTAAAAATAGGAATTCCCTTTAAAATAGTAGTCGGGTGGAGAGCTCTGGACGAAGGCAAGACGTCCAAAGTTAGCTAAGGGGATCTCCTACTCGAGTCTTGACCCCGGCCCCTCTCCCCCTCTGCGGGCTGTGTATAGACAGACCCCCAAGCCTCGGCCAGGACCCGGCGCATCTTTGGCTCCGCCCCACCCATTGCGAGTCTGAAAGGCTGAGCCTCACAGTCACCACGCTCGCCACCACGCTTTGTCCCCACCCCACCCGGCCCAGGACCCCAGCAGGGCTGGGTCCACTGCACCAGTGGTGTCTCTCCGTCGGTCCACCCCCAGAAGCGCCAGCAGCCGCGCTTGCCACCCTGGGGGCCACCTCTCCAAGGGGGCGACCCCCCGACCGGGTGACAGGCCCGCGGCGGGACCATCCTGACGGCCCGATCTTAGAGGGGTCTCTCTCCTTCGCTTGCCTTGGACCTCAGTGTGCCTGTCTGGGAAGGGGGCGTCGGCAGGGCCGTCGGAGTCCTGCGCGCGCTTGCATCGAGGTCCTGCCTCAGGCCGGCTGCGCCCCGCGGCCCCTCCGCGCACCCGGTCCCCTCTGCACCGCGCTCGACCGTTTGACTTGCCTGCGGCCGCCAGGCGCCCGACCCTGGCCGGCTCCGAGCCTGCTCCCCTGATGGACGAGCCGGACCAGCCACGGACACTGCCCACCAGGGCCTGACTCCTCCTTTCCCCTTCTTTTTAAAGGGAAGTAACCTGACCCGACCACTACTCCCGGCTTAACCCCTGCCGGGCCGCAGCTCCGCCGGGACTCCTCCCCTGCCTGCCCGCAGCCTCCCCGGAGACACCCTAGGGGAGCTGCTCCAGCGACGGTCGGCCCGCCGGCCCTGGAACTGCTCTTTGGTTCCCCAGGTCTCCCCACTGCCCTCCCCCGGCCCCCCAAACAGTCCCGCCGTGGCAGCAGCCCCAGGGCCCCGCCCCCGCCCACATCTGGACAGCATCTGCCCCTGGGGGAAGGGTACCGAGGCCCACCCTTAGAGGGGTGAGGAGAGGGGGAGCCCCACTCATTGAAAAAACAAACCGGGCATCCCCATGGAGATGGCTGTTCCAGATAACTGAATCTCTGCAGCACACAATTTAACTTTCTTGATACCTGAGGCTCATCATTAGGAAGGAAGAGAAGTTGCAGGATCTAGCAAAAAAGAAAAAAGCCAGACCAGAGTCAGGGTATGCTGCTTCCTTAGAGGCTGAGCGTCCAGGCACAAGGCACTCCTCTTTCCTGGGCATCTTTTTACTGGGCAGTATCAGATGATATTTGTACTTTTGCCTTATGGCTGTTGTAACAATTTAACACAAATTTAAAACAATGCACTTATTATTTTAGTTTTGTAAGTGAAGTCCAAAATGGATCTCATCAGGCTATGTATATTCAAGGGTGTCCACAGGGCTTCCTTCTGGACGTTCTACAGAACCTCTTCTGGGTACCCGCATTCCTTGGCTTGTAGCCCCCTACCATTTTCAAAGTCAGCAGTGGCCCATCCAGTCTTTCCGTCATTGTATCACTCTGACATCAATTCTTTTTTTCCCCTCCTGCATCCACTTTAGAGGCTCCTTGTGATTACATTTTGTCCACTCCAATAATCCAAAATTTCTCCCTATTTTAAGGTTAGTTGATTACCTCCACTTTAATTTCATCTGCGGTTTTAATTCCTCTTTGCCACATAGCAAGGCATATTCAGAGAATACAGGAATTAGGACAAGGGTGTCTTTGTGGAGGGGGCAACCACAACATTCTGCCAACCACAACGTTCAAGACACCTTCCAGAATCTCAGATTTAGAAGCAAATTTAGAGACCACCCAATCTAATCGACTTCCTCGTCCATTACTGGAATCTGTGGGACAGTTTAGCCTTGTACCACATGCCCCAAAGTGGTTGCTTTTTGACTCACTTGCACTTGCTCTTCCTTTAGAAATGGCACAGTGGGCTAGGGTGCTATAAGTAGCAGCCTTGCTTCCCCTTTCTAATTTGTTTCTGTAGTCTTAAAACTGAATCACAGGTTTCTTGGAGAATAGAATTTTATGTAAAATAAGAATAAGTCTGCTCTGAGTAAGACGCTAGCAGCTTTTTTTTTTTTTTTTTGGCTGTACCACATCTTAGTTGCAGCATGCGGGATCAGATCTTTTGTGTATATATGTGTATATATATATATATTTATATATAAATACACATTTATATATATTTACTTTTATTTATTTATCTTTAGTTTTGGCTGTGCTGGGTCTTCGTTGCTGCCTGGGCTTTTCTCCTGTTGCAGCAAGCGGGGGCTAATCTATAGTTGTGTTGCTTGGGCTTCTCACTGATGTGGCTTCTCTTGGTTGCAGAGCAAAGGCTCTAGGGCATGCATGCTTCCGTAGTTGCAGTGATGGGTTCAGTAGCTGAGGCTCACAGGCTCTAGAGCACAAGCTCAGTAGTTGTGGTTACATGGGCTTAGTTGCTCCAAGGCTTGTAGGATCTTCCTGGACCAGGGTTTGAACCCATGTCTCGCAGGCGGAATCTTTACCATTGAGCCACGAGGGAAGCCAAAGAGATCAGATCGTTATAGTTGCAGCATGTGGGATCTAATTACCTGACCAGGGATTGAACTGTGGGCCCCCTACATTGGAAGCGTGGCGTCTTAGCCCCTGGATCACCAGGGAAGTCCTTCTTGCCCCCACTCTGGGGTTTCCTCCCCTCCCTCCAGTCTCTCACTGCCTGAGCTCCTCCTCTAGCATATTTGACATAATCTTCTCTATGGCTGAGAAGCCAAAGAAAGGCTCACCGAGGCCATTTGGAGCGCATCTTCCATCCTGGGTTCTCTCGCCTCTCTGACCGAAGGCTCTGAGAGAATTTTGAGAGTCGTACAGAAGCCACTGTGGCAGAAGGGCAGCCTGACTTTCTGGGGGGCAGTTGGGGATGGGAATGAAGGTCACTTTCAGGACTTTAGCCTAGTGTAATAGAATATTTATGGAAAAGTATTTTACTGCAGTTTTATTTATAGTTCAGAAAAAATCAGAAACAGCCCAAATATTCAGCTATCGGTGATTGGTTGAGTAAATTATGGTCTTCCCATATAATGAAATACTATCCCATCATGAAAAACAAATCATATTTTATAACTATTGAATGAAACCATGGGAGAATTTTTTTTTAATCCCGGAGTAGGGAAGTCCTTTATATTATACAAAACCTGAAGCCTCAAAAGATTGATCAATTTGACTACCAAAAAAAAATTTTTTTTTCTGCAAAAAACCACCACGAGTAAAGTCCAAGGAAAACTTTAAACCTGAGGGGAAAACTACAACCATAACATAGGCAAAGGGCAGATTTCTCTAATATGTGAAGAGCCCCCACAAATAATTTTTTTAATGGTTAAAAAATTTATTTAATGAATTTATCTGGCTGTGCTGGATCTTATGTGACACGTGGGATCTCTTAGTTGCTACATACAAGATCTTAATTCCCTGACCAGGGATGGAACCCGAGCCCCCTGCATTTGGAGCAAGGAGTCTTAGCCACTGGACCACCACAAACCCACAAATCTTTTTTAAATGAACCACTAATGACTCAAATGGAGGAAAATAGGCAAAGAATATGAAGAAACAATTAATGGTAATGGAAAGGGGGAAATTTCAATGGGCCCTTAAAGATGTAAAGAGATGCTCAATAACTCATTAAAAAGAGTATCTCCAGGGGAATTCCCTGATGGTCCAGTGGTTAGGGCTCCAGGGCTTCCACTGCAGGGAGCAAGGGTTCGATCCTGGGTCAGGGAACTAAGATCCCACATGCCTTGTGGCATGGTTAAAAAAAATAAATAACTAAATAAAAAGTAAAGACTGTCTCTAAAGATACTATTCTTCACTTATCAGACCGGCAGGGATAAAACTTGGAAACACCAGATATTGGCAAGAGTGGGAAGAGAACAAGCACCCACACACATACACAGCCACGTCTCTGCACTGCCGGCTGGTGTGTAGACTGACTCAACTTGATAGAGGCAATTTGGTAATATTTATTCAACATCTAAACACAGGTCCCCTTTGACTCAGCACTTCCACTCCTGGAAACGAATCCTATGGATATACTCACACACAAGCAACATGGAGACTGCAAAAGGCTTTTCACTGCAACAGTGACTGTAGCTGGGAAGGACCTCAACTCCACCAGTAGAGATGGGCTAATTGAATTCTTCTTGTATGTCCATGCAGTGGAATGTACTATATAGCTATATGTAACAGAATGTAATACCTACCTATAAGACAGAACCAGGATGCTATCTACAGAACCAAATTCAAGGCATGTTGTTCAGAGCAACAGAGGTTTACTGCATAGCACAGGGAACTGTAGCCAATATCTTGTAATCACCTATAATGGAAAATAATCTCAAAAATAGTATACGTGTGTATGTATAACTGAACTACCTTGCCGTGCACCTGAAACATTGTAAGTCAGCTCTGAGTGTGTGAGTATTAGTGCTCAATCGTGTGTGGCTCTTTGTGACCCTGTTAACTGTAGCCTGCTGGGCTCCTCTGTCCATGGAATTCTCTAGGCAAGAATACTAGAGAGTGTTGCCATTCCTTTCTCCAGGGGATCTTCCTGACCCAGGGACTGAACCTGAGTCTCCTTCAAGGCAGGCAGCTTTTTTACCGTCTGAGCTATCAGGGAAGCAACTCAATAAAATATACATAAATATAAAGAAAAATGAATAAAAGGGAAGGAGGGAAGAAATATGCTGTATAATTGATTCTAAGGTAGTCTAGATTGTAAGACACACAATTATTTTATGTAACATTATTTTATGTCTCTCCTTTATGAAAGTAACAATGCTACCAATTAAATATGACATGCCATCTCTAAAAAGAAAACAAAAAGACATGCTGTTAACTAATAGAAGCTGGGTGCAAACTATTGTTCAAGTAGTTTATCAATTGTATCTTAAAAGGGGAAAAGCACATAATTCACTTTCACATAATGTATATAATGGCTCTTTAGATATATAAGAAACTGCAAACTGATTTTTTTGTAGGTGGGCACTGAGCACCTAGAGAACAGGGTGGGAAACAAATTTTTCAATATATCCTTTTGTCCTTTTCAATGTTGAACCATATGAATAAGCTGACTACTCAAAATGAAAATAAAATTAGAAGTATAAGACAGGAAGATCAGAGGATTAATAGATTTTATGATATAAAAAGTTTCAACTTTTATGTTTATGAATGAAATGATTTGATGTTTGGGGTTTGCTTTGAAATAATCCAGGTGAGGTGAGGCAAGTCAGGGCTGGTGGCTCAATATAACATGATTTAAAAAAAGGGTGGGACTTCCCTAGTGGTCTAGTGATTAAGAATCCACCTTCCAATGCAGGGGACTCTGGTTCCATCCCTGGTCCGGGAACTAGATTCCACATGCCTTGGGGCAGCTAAGCCTTCATGCCACAACTTGAGAGCCTGTGCACAGCAACTTAAGACCTGAGGCAGCCAAAAATAAGCAAGTACAAATATATATTTTTTTAAAATAGGGGAGGACTTCCCTGGCGGTCCAGTGGTTAAAACTCCACACTTCCACCACAGGGGGCGCAGGTTTAATTCTGATTTGGGAAAGATTCCCCACTCCACCGACCCAGGAGAGGGGAGGCCAGAAAAAAAGAAGAGGGGGAAGACAAAAATAAATTAATGTGTTCAGTAATTGATGATTGG